TGTTGTTGTTTAAAAGAGCATGGTGTCTTCCTACTCTTTCCTCTTGCTTCTTCTCTTACCATGTGTTATCTGCATTAGTTCCCACCTCCTTTTTGCCATGAGGAAGCAGCTTGAAGCCTATACCAGGAGCAGTTCTGCCCCATGCTTCTTGTACATCCTGTAGAACCATTAGCCCCAAAACCTCTTTTTCTTTATAAATTACCTAGCCTCAGTTATGCCTTTAGAGCAACACACATGGACTAAGACAGAAAATTGGCACAGAGAAGTTCAGTGTTGCTATAAGGATACCTGACAATATGGAACAGCTTTGGAAGTGGGTAATGGGCAGAGGTTGTAAGAGTTTGAAAGGCTCAGAAGACAGAAAGATGAGGGAAGTTTGGGACTTTCTAGACATAGTTTAAGTGGTTGTGACCAAAATCTTGATAGAAAAATAGGTATTAAAGGCCATGCTGATGGGGTCTCAGATGAAAATGCAGAACTTATTGGGAACTAGAACAAAAGTCATCCTCGTTATGCTGTAACAAGGAACTTGGCTGCATTGTGTCCATGCTGTAGGTCTTTGCAGAAAGCTGAATTTAAGAATGATGATGCTTGAGTATCTGGTGGAAAAAATTTCCAAGCACCAAAGCTTTTAACAAGTGACATGGCTACTTTTAGGGGCTTATGATCAGATACAGTAGCAAAGGGATGATCTAAAGGTGAAATTTATAATTAAAAGGGAAGCAGAGCATAAAAATTTGGAAAATTCACAGACTGTCCATATGTCAGAAAAGGAAAGAGTATTTTCAGGAGAGGAATCCAAAAGCATGGCTGAGTGGAAGCAACAGTTTGCTAGAGACATTAGCATGACTGAAAGGGAACCAGGTGCTAATAGGAAGACAATGGGAAAAAGTGTCCTCAGACATTTCAGAAATTCAATGCCACCCTTCTCTTCACAGGCCTAGAGGCCTAGGAAGGTGGGATAGTTTCAGGGAACAGGCCCTGGGTACCACTTTCCTGCAATGCCTTGGGATGTTGCTCTCCACAGTCCCACTGCTCAGGCTTGAGCTGCAGCCCAAATGGCCCAAGTACAGCTCAGGCTGCTGCTCCAGAGGGTACAGTGGTATGTCTTGGTGACTTCCACGTGGTGTTAAGACTGTAGGTTCCCAGAATGTAAGAATGATGTAAACTTGATGTTTCTACCTAGATTGCAGTGGATGTCTTGGAAAGTGTGTGTACCCAGGCAGAAACCTGCTGTAGGGGTGCAGCCACTGCAGAGAAACTCTACTAGGGCAATTCTGAGTGGAAATGTGGGGTCCCCACTAGGGCACTACATACTAGAGCTTTGAGGGCAGGGTCCAGGAAAGCCATGGGAATGGGGATACCCAAGCCCTTGGGAGCCTCCTCTTCTCACCAGCATGATCTGGATGGCGGGCATGGAGTCAGGGGAGATTATTTTGGAGTTTTAAGATTTAATTTATATCTGCTATGTTTCAGACTTGCATGTGGCCTGTTATTCCTTTCTTTTGGCCTATTTCTCCCTTTTGGAATGGGAATGTTTACTTAATGTCTGCTCCATCATTGTATCTTGGAAGTAATAACTTGCTTTTGATTTTACAGGATAATAGTTAGAAGGAAGTTGCCTTGAGTTTCAGAAGAAACTATATATTTTTGAGTTGATGCTGAAATGAGTTAAGAACTTTGGGACTATTGGGAAGGAATGAGTTAAGAACTTTGAGAATTGGCTATGGTTGGTTTGACTCCTTCAAATCTCATGTTGAAATTTAATTTCCAGTATTCAAAGTGAGGCCTAATGGGAGGTGTTCGGTTATGGGAGAAGATTCCTTATGAATAGCTTGGTGCCATCCTTGTAGTAATGAGTGAGTTTTTTCTCTATCAGTTCCCATGAAGTTTGGTTATTAAAAAGGTTGTCATCTATACACTCTTTTTCTTGCTTCCTCTCTTGCCACGTGAACTCTGCGTGTGATGGTTCCTCTTTACCATGAGTGGAAGCAGCCTAAAGCCCTCATCAGAAGAAGATGGTGGCACCATGCTCCCTGGAACCATGAGCCAAATAAGCATCTTTTCTTTATCCAGCCTCAGATATTCCTTTTTAACAACACAGATGGACTAAGATACTTCCTTATGATTTTCTTCATAAAATTTTCTTTTTTGTAGGTTACGTTATTATAAAAAATACAATATTTAATACATATAACTTATAAAATGTGTTAATTGACTTTATGTTGTTGGTAAGGTTTGTTAAGTTTTCAGGGAGTCAAAAGTTATACATGGATTTTCAATGACATGGTGGTTGGAGGTTGGTGCCTCTAACCCCCACATTGTATTTGGTTTGGGAAGTAATATATCAGATCTCTAAATTAAAGCAACTTTACCTTTTGGTAGTTCATCATTATATGGTCAATAGAGACCATGCTCCGAGTAATGTATAATCGTAAAACCTACTCTTCTTTCTCTATTATGAGGTTAAGATACAAAAAGGATTAATGTTTTTACTTCTTAGCAAATAAATAATGGCATTAATTTTGTTTCCATGAACATTAATCAGATATGCTTAAATAGCTTGTCTTAGTCCATTTGAACTCCTGTAACAAACCATAAACTGGATGGTTTATATAAACAACAAATATTTATTTCTCATAGTTTCAGAGGCTAGGAAGTCCAAGATCAAGGCACCGTTGTATTTGATGTCTGATGAAGGTCTGTTCTTCGTAGATTGCACCTTCTAGCTGTGTTCTCACATGGTGGAAGGGGCAAGGCATCTCTCCGGGGTCTCTTTTATAAGGCCACTAAGCCCATTCATGAGGGCAGAGTTTCATAAATCTAATCACTTCCTGAAGGTCCCACCTCCTATTTCCACCACCTTAGGGGTTAGAATATAAACATATTGATTTTAGGAGGACACAAACATTCAGACCATAGCATAACTAAATTTCTCTTTAGATTTAATCATTGTTTGGCCCTAGACTCCCCAGTTAGAGTCTATATGCTCAGGTCTCTTCTGCTACCTTTTAACTCAGAAAAGACCTTATGGTAGGATTTAAATGAATTGACCTAAATCTTCAAAGAAATACAAAGGTGTTTCTTTCATAGAAATGAAACTGAACAGTTTCAAAATTAAGATAAATATAACCACATAAATAATCTTTGCTTTCCCACTCCATTTCCTGATAAATCATGCAGATAATCAAAACAGAGTAGAAGATGTCTTGGATCAATTAACATGGTACAGTTGAATACACTTACACAGTGAATACTCAGATGTTTCTCTGTGACTTAACCTTCATTTTTTTTCTTACCTAATTTTAGAAAGAAAGGATCTCATATCTTAAATGTTAAAAAATAGGCAATATAAAATTTGATTCTTTAAAATGAAAATATATTTGAAAATCATTATTTTGAAAACTTTCACAGAGGAATCATTTTCTCAGTTTGATCTTTAAATATGCAGTTTAAATTAACTTTCTCAATATTTTCTCATAGTTTTTTATGAGTGACTTTAGTAATTTCTTCTGCATAGGCTCTTCATTTAATATAATTAAAATAAACCACTAATGAGAAAAATGTATTTCTCTTTCAATGTATAATGTTGAACAGATTCAGAAAATGTATAATTATAAAACAAATTTGTGATACAGATCAGGTTCACACAAATGATATTTCATTTTAGATTTATAAAAACATTAAACTCAAATCTAGGTAAATTATAAAACATAAATGTATCCCTTAAAAGCATATATATTAAAAATAATATATTATATTATATTATTTTATTTAATATATTATATTACTATAATATATAATATATATTAAAATAATATATATGCTTTTAAGGGATACATTTATATGTTTTATAATATAAATAAAATATAGAAATATATTAACATAAATATACAATATAAATAAAATAAATATATAATGTAAATAACATAAGCACTTTAAGGGAATATAGTGAGAATTTATGAAATTAAAGGCTTGGCAATGACAAGTACCATGGAGCTCTAAATTGTATCATAGAAATATTAATAGCAGTTCCATGAACTACTGCTGCATCACGGTCAGGTAATCAATCCCAAATTTCCCTTGTTTCCCTTTGGGACTCTACATACTACTGGTATATCTGCATTAATTTGCTTCTCTAAGGAAAAATGGCATTTATTGAAGAGAGGTAAGGGATTCATGGAATTGGGTAGAGATGGAATACTTATTGGGAAAATAAGCAGGAGGTGTGGAAGTTTGGGAAGGCCATGCTGCAGGATCCACAGTCAAGGTCACTCTGGGAAAGATTTTAATCCATATGCTGATTGTGTGATGACTATGACCTCAGGCCTGTGTGGATCATGACTATGACCTCAGGCCTGTGTGGATCATGATGTTGATTTAAGATTCAAAGTCCAGGATGATAGTATCTGATTATCCTGTTCAATGATAGTCCAGAGCAGGGAGAGACTATCCTCTCCATGGTGGGAGGTGGCTGTCACCTCACAAGATGATACACAAAAAAGGATTCCCCAAAAAAGAGAGAATGGCACTGTGGTTGAGATGTATGCAGCTGGACAATAAGTAAATGACAAATGTTTACTGCACAGATCTGTCTTCTTGTTCCTGAGATGCATGTGACTGGCAAAGTATTTAAAACTTTTTTTTTAAGCTATGAAGATGATGGTCATCCTATCTATAAATCTCATTGTAATGGTCACTTGAACAGTATGCTGGCTCTAAACTATGTGAATGGAAACAAAACATATATCAGTTATCAATCCTCTGAGAAATATATATATATTTCTCTTCCAGTATATTTTTCATTCTTTAATCTTCCCTTTAGATTGTCTTCATTAATAAATTCATCTTCTGCTTATTTTTCCCCTTGCTACTCCCCTCCGTCATCACCTAAAATGTATTCTCATGTGAACATTTAGAGATGATATAACTGTCTTAGTTTGGACTATCCAAAAACCATATCCTTAAATAAGAATTTGCCTGAAAATATTTTTATTTAGGAGGTGATCTCAAAAAACTTCATCAAGGAGTGCAGAAGTGAAACAGGGAAATGAAGGCCATCCAGAAAGTTTGTAATCAAGTAAGTTACCACTACAGATAACTAGAACTTGATTCCACTGGGGAAACCTGACCAGCACGTAGAACAAAACACATCAACATGCTTCCAGGTGAGGAGTATGGGAGCTGAGGTATGTTGTACTCCAGTTTTCATCAGTCACTGGTTTAGGTTCTCCAGACCTACTTGCTCTGCATGCAGCTGGGCAAAGTGAGCTCTGGCAAACACACAAAGCCACAAGGCAAAGAAATACAGTGATGGCAGTGGGAATTCAGACCAATGTAAAGTGAAATGATAAGGATGAGGAGTCATGTGTGAGTGGGGCACCAATGGCATCTGCTGCAGTAGTAGGATCTACTCTTTCCCTGACTCTAGATATGACCAGTTGTTCATTGACCAGGTTGGCTACATTCAGCTGGGTTCAAATGAGATCCCCAAGGGATCACTGGAATGGTCAACAGGTATTTAAGGACTTGCATAAGCAGTAAGCCATCAGGACCAAGATTTGTAAAAAGGGAGAAGATTTAGGAGAAAAGGGAGAGTTGGCAGTCGTATGGCTACAGGGTAGTTGAATGGGATATAGAAATGGCAAGAGAAAAAAAACACAAAAGCTGGGAACAAATCTATGGTAGATGCCGAGGTGCTCTGCTCAGTCCTCTCTTCAGGACTGAGACTCTCAGTCCAACTGCTGAGAGTGCTGCTGACTGACAGCCCACGGCTGAATCCCTCTCTCAAGATTGCCCTGGAAAGGGTGTTGTCTTGCCTAATGTTAAGCCGTTAAACTGTGTACCCAGGAGCAGCCCACATCCAACTATTTGTCGATCCAGTGTTACAAAAGCCCTTCTTCCCTTCCTTATCTTGGCACATCTTTGAAGGATCAGACCTGCTTCAGAGCCCCTTAGGAGACTGGCTGAGGCCACCATTGAAACTGTGTCACAGCTCAATGTCTTCCTCTGCCCAGTCCTGTTTGCCCTACAGGCTTGTTTTTATTTGTTTATTTTTCTCCCATGAGTGAGCATACCTGGTAAACTTCCTATAAGAAAATTTCCTTCTGAAAATATTTTCTGGGAATCTCAGCAGAAACAAGTGAGAGGTGGACTACTGATAAGGTGGGAATAACGACTCTTACCTGATTCTACACAAGTGTGGCAGATGCAATTGCCTTTACTTGTATTTATTCATTCCAAGCATACTCAGAAATGAGTTCTGATACTTGGTCCACATATATTGCAATTGTTAGTGTTTACTGATGCATACTCTGTCTGAATTCTAATATTCAACACTTGAAAAAGCTTACTTTGAATTCTATTGTATACAAATACAGTACCACATAAATGTTGACCCACAGAGCATACAAAAAAAGAGGTTGTTTTTCATGGCTTGCCATGAATATAAGCAATTCAGAAATGATTTGGATAGCAAAAGTAGGATTGTCATCTAGGGAGTTTGGAGTTTCTGAATGTATCATTCATTTGTCAGATCTTATTTTGTTAGTGCCAATCTTATTTTTTCTCAATACCACACAGAAGAAAATGCTAAGCAGGTTATTGCAATTATTTTTCTGTAAAAATAATGACCTGCATTACTAGGAATCTTAATGTCACCTTGTTATTTACCTTCTATTGTTTCTGGCTTCACAGGCAATACAGTGTGCTCTGGACTTTGCAGACATTTGTTTTATTATGAACTTTTCCATCCCTCCTCATATTGAATTTAAAAAAAAATTTTTACTTTGCAGTGAATCTGTCTTACCAAAGCTGTGAAATCACTTTTCTACTGTATGAACTCAAGTAACTTGCTGAAAAGGCCCTCTCTTTTTCTCACAGTTAAAAACTCATTTCTTTCCTTTTTATCTTAATATATCTTATAGATCCTTAGGCCAAGGAATAGGAATGACTTTAGGGAAAGTACTGATATTTTCAAGGCCTTTTTTCCTCAGGACTGGAAAATTAGGCTTGACCTTTTCCCAAGAGTATCATGGAATAGCTAGAGCATGTTATGGATCTGAGAAATTAAAGATCATGTCAGGGAGACTAAGACCAAAGAAAAACCCTTTACATACTGCAGAAAAAGAAAAAAGCTTCCTCTTCTCAGCCATATTAACTTTAGATAAAAGGTTTAATTAGAGTGGAATCTTTAATATGCCTGTCTGGTGTGTACTTTTACTTTTTGTCAAGAAGGTAAATGAGAGAAGCTTTAGAATTTTACCAAAGTGATCTCATGAACATAATGAGGTTAACAAGCTGAAATTAGGCTCTTGGGTTCAGAGAACAAAATAATTCACTTATGAAAAACATTTTTAATTAAATGGAAGTTCCTTCATCCAAATAGCACAATTTGCTAGTCAGAGATAAGAGGTAGAGATAGTGCTGAGGAAGGAAGATAGTGACAATGTAAAGTTGTATGAAATTTAAGAATCAAAGTGTTCATTTTGATATTTTTGTACCCCTCAGCATCCTGGCACTGCCAGAGAAAAAAGAAACATAACACATAGAATAAAGACATAACCATCCTTTTTACTTGGTATGTAGCCTATCTTCAAAATCTGTACATAATAGTTTTCTGAATTACCACAAAGTAGCATAAAACAACAGAAATTTTTTCTCTCACAGTTCTGGAAGCTGGAAGGCTGAAATTGAGGTGTTGGCAGGGCCATTTTAGTCTCTGAAGGCTCTAGGGGAGGATACTTCTTTGCTTTTCCCTAGCTTCTGGTGGTTGCAGATTGCTGTTCCTTGGTTTGTATTATAAGCTCTGCCTCTGATGTCAAAGGGTGTTTTCTCTCTGTATGTACGTATGTGTCTGTTTTCTTTTCTTATAAGGACACTAGTCATTGGATTAGAGCACACTCTAATCTGATATGAACTCATATTAGTTCAGCTAATTATATCTTCAAAGACTAATTCCAAAGGAGGTCATATTCTGAGGTTCCTAGTGGGCTTGAATTTTTGGAGGACTTTATTTAATGTAGTATACTTTATAAAAAAAAGAGAACTCTTCAAATCAGGACATAACTTCACATTAAATGAGGAGATTTGACTTCCTGCCCTTTCCTTCTTGGTCAGGCCTGTTATAATAATTTAAAAACAATACACAATCTGTAACAGTGTATGCATATTTGAGTTTCCTAATTAAAACTACAGAGACTTCTAAAGTAAATCTCTTTAAACCACTTCTCTAAGTTATTGTGTTTAATAATTAGCTTAGAAATGAGAATGGCAATAATTAGTTCCTACAAAATTGAAAGTATATTCTATTGAGTTTGAATTTGTGCTTAACTTCTGAGGATATCAGTGGGGCAATGAATTTTTTAATACAATTTTTTATGTTAGAAAATTTTTACATTTATTAAAAAATTACAAAGACAGTATGGAGAATTCCACACCACACCCAGTTTCCCTTATTGCTAACACCTTACATTAGTATGAAATATTTGTCATAATTAAGGAAATAATATTAATACATTATTAACCTAAGATCATACTTTATTCAAATTTCTTGCCTTTTTTTTTCTTTTTGTATTTTTTACTGTCCTAGGATCTAATCCCGGATACCACATTGCTATTTAGTATTCATGTCTCCGTGGGATATCACTATGACAGTTTCTTAGACTTTCCTTCTTTTCAATGATCTTGATCCTTTGAGGAATACTGGTCAGATATTTTGTAATGAGTTTGGATTTGTCTAACATTATCTTTTTTTCATGAATAGACTGGTGTTATATACTTTTGGGAGAAAGGCCAATAGATAAAGTGCCCGGTTGTTAAATCATAGCAAGGATACATACTTTCAACACGACTTATCACTGTTGCTGTTAACATTGATCACCTGGCTGAGGTCGTGTTTGTCAGCTTTTTTTCACTGCAGTCACTCTTTTTGGCCCCTTTCTTTATTGTATTCTTGGGAAGAAAATCATTACATGCCGTCACACTTAAGAAGAGGGGCATTATGCTCTATCTCCTTGATGAAGCAGCTTCTCCATCAACTACCTGGAATTCTTCTGTATTGAACATTTGTGTAGTTTCACCCATTTATTAATGCAGTCATTTATTTAGACTGGTATGGACTCATGGGCTTTATTTTATGTGTTTTGTGTTGTAATCCAGTAATATGTTATTTGTTTTGTTGCTTGAATTGTTCCAGCTTTAGCCACTGGGTACTTTTTCAGTTGGCTCCTGTTCTTCCTTTGACATGTCCCCAACATTGTGTGTGTGTGTGTGTGTTAACATAGCACTTCCTTATTTTTGGCATTACATGGTGCTTTAGGCTCATCTTGTATATTCCCCATGCCTAGAGTCAGCCATTTCTATAAGGAACCCTGGTTCTTTTTTCTTTTTCTTATTTTATGATTCCTTTTATTGGAAAATGGTATTACAAACTAAGATCTGGGTGCTGGGTGTGCTCTTTGCATCTAGGCTCCCTCAGCCAAAAAAGTTTGGAAATATATATGTACATAATAACCTGTGTATGCACACATATCTACAAATATTTCCATATCTTTCCATCTGTATTTACATTAAGTTGAACATCAGTTCATACTGATGTCACCAACTCCAATCTATTACCACATGGATACTTCTCTCCTTGCTAATCTGTAAACTCCCACTCCAATAGTGGGAAACCTGGCTCCACCATCTGCTATCCAATTACTCATGTGTTTAATCCCAGTAGACATTTATGGTGGTTTCAGGATTGTCAGCTCAGACCCCTACGGAAGTAGGAGAGATAAGGAGATAAGGTGATAAGGAGAACCTACCTTATCAACTAGAGTTCACTGCTTAGATAGTTTCTTTTTTTCTATATTCTTATAGTCTCTACATTTCTAAAGTTACTTACATCAGAACCTTTTTCTCCCATCCTCTTCACTGAAATTTCTGAAACTCCTTCTCTAACATTTTGTTAAGTATTTTTGTGTCTATATTCATGAGACATATTGGTTTCTTGTAATATCTTTTACCTGATTTTAGTATTAGGGTATTGTAGGGCTCATAAAATGAGTTGGGAAGTTTTCCTTCTTCTGTTTTCTGGAAGAGATTGTGGAGAATTGGTACTATTTCTTCCTAAGATGTTTGGTAGAGTTAATCAATGAAATCATTTGGGCCTGGTGATTTTTTTTTTTTTAGATTTAAAAATACTAATTTAATTTCTTTAACAGATATAGGGATAATCAGGTTATCTATTTTTCCTTGAGTATGTTTTGGTAGTTTGTATTTTTAGAGAATTATATATATTTCATCTAAATTTTCAAACTTGTGGATATAGAGTTATTTATAATATTCCTTTATTAGCCTTTTGATATGCAGGGGGTCAGGAGTGATGATCCTCATCTCTTGTTGATGATACTGCTAATTTGTGTCTTCTCTCTCTTTTTCTTGTTTAGCTTACCTAGTGGTTTATCATTTTATGGATCTTTTTCAAAGAATCAGCTTTTAGTTTAATTGATTTTCTCTATTTTACTATTTTCAATTCCACTGATTTCTGTTCTAATTTTTTGTTATTTTCTGCCTTCTGCTCATTTTAGGTTTAATTTGCTTCCTGTTCTCTAGTTTGCTAAAGTGGATGCTTAGCTTTTGCTGTGTACAGTGTTTTCTATCCTCTACTTTGGAAAATGTCAAATTTTATAGCACATTGGACAAATCTCTGATGTTTATTTTGATGACCTCTAGACTAATTTCTATGAGTCCTTTGTCTTGAAGCACAAATAATTCTTTATTAATTCATTATTTATTAAAAATTATTTACCATGTACTAGGTACTCTTCTAGGTCTTGCTGTCCTAAGACTCTACTTTCTAAAATAGGAGACAGATTTTTAAAAACAAGTAAAAAATTGAAAATAGAAGTACCATATAATGTAAAAATCCCCTTGCTGGGTATATATCCTAAAGAAAGGAAATCAGCATATCAAAGAGATATCTGCACTCCCATATTTACTGCAGCACTATTCACATTAGCTAAGATACAGAATCAACCTAAGTGTCCATCAACAGATGAGTGGATAAAGAAAATGTGCTGCATATACACCATGGAATATTATTCAGCCTTAAAAGAATGAAATCCTGTCATTTGCAACAACACAAATGGGACTGTAGGAAATTATGTTAAGTAAAAAAAGCCAAGCGCAGAAAGGCAAATATTGCATACTCTCACTCATATGTGGAAGTTAAAAAAAAGTTGAACCATGGAAACCGAGAATAAAATGATGCTTAATATGTACAATTCTTATGTGCCCATAATTATTAAAAATTAAAAAGTTATAAAACAAGTAAATGAATGTGAAATATGATTGTACCTTGTGATTAGTGCTAAGAAGATAAGAGCAGAGGAAGATGACAGGGATTGACATGCATATGTGTGTGTGTTTTAGAAAAGGTGTTTACCCCAAAGGGTAATTTGGAAAAATGATATTTTATTGAAGACATGGATTAAATGAAGTAAAGAGCATTGGAAAAGTTTGAGATATAAAATTTCCTAGGCAGTGGGGATGGGAAATGCAAAAACCCTAAATAAGAATAAATTTGACATCTTAGAAGAACCGCTGCAATGAGCAAGGAGCATAGTAAGGTAGGCACAAATTGGTAGGAGCAGTAGCAGAAGAGGAAGACAGGGAACAGGAGCATGTAGTGCCTTCTAGACCATGTGGAGTATAGTAAAGTCAGTATTGTGTAAGTGTTTTGAACGGGAGAGTGAATGGTCTGATTTATGTTTTTAAAGCATTAGTCTGGCAGCTGTGAGGAGAATCACTATTGACAAATTTGCTCAGCTTTGGGAAAAACAAGACACTAATACATAGCATTTTACTTAGAGTTTAGAATGACTTGAACAAAGCCTGTGCTAAAAATGACAGTGGAGAAGTCCTGATATTCTTTAGTAATGTATACATTTTTTTTTAACAAATTTCATGGGTCGAGCTCCAATACTCTGTCATTAAAATGATTTAATCAAAGAAGCAGAGAGCGTTACTGGAGAAAACGACTAATGATGTTAGTCTTGTCTCAGTTGTTCTGAGGCAATATTATAAGAGCTAATAGACTGGATTGGAAATCAGCTCATATGAAAAGTAACTGTGCCCTTGTGCCTGGAGAGAGTTAATGTATCTCCAAGAACATTTACTGACGGGTAGTGACTTGAGAACTAGAAAAATGGAATCCCCCGAGTCCCAATTCAGAGACTGAGTGAGACAAACTTCTTGGAACTCCACCTTGGATATCTCCTTTATTGCTAAATCTTCTAGTTATTCCTTTAGCAATATGGAAACACTAATATTATCCATTTCTGGAAGGAGAAATTAATATCATTGCTATAGTATTGGATAAATATTTGAAACTTTATATAATAACTGTTTTAAATAGGCAAACAAATATTGGCTTCTGCTAAATTAGATGTTGATGGACTGTTATTGAACTTCTATACCTAAGAACTCAAGGAGACCAATTGTATTGTTCACCCAGACAAATTCTTCGCATCTAAAATACATCAAATTCAGTGCTCAGTGTCAGGATAACAGAACAAGACAAACTAAAAGTATAACAAACAGGTTCTAAAATAATATAATTTGACCTGTTCTGTTTTCCTGCATGCAATTTGACTTGCTTCTTCCTTAATGCATGCATTTTGCTAAGGTTCAGACTGTGTTTTGTTTTGTTTATAATCTCTGAATTTTTATACCATCTCTACATAGTGTTTCTTTTTCATTTGTTTGCTTTGTGTTTGCAATGTAGGTAATTGTTAAATTGTGACTATCTAGAATAGTTGAACACTGTTATATGAAAATTTGGAAAGAGCATTTGCTCTGATAATATCTATATTATAGAAATAACTCATTTTAGAAAGCGGAGATGCTTATTAATTTACTTATTATTTTTATTCATTCACTTATTCACTGCCTTACATTTGACAAACATCTGGTAGGGATCTGGAACAATACTAGAGGACTAATTTAGAAAAGATGAATAAGATATAGGTTGTCTTAGATGGGTTCTAATAGTGGGGTAATTATAGGATTTAATAGGTGCTTTGTGACGTAGGAAAAATGCTAATGTTGAGTAGAAGATGGAAGCACTTCTTTTTCTAGGAAAGAGAAGGGAAGTCTTTTGAAAAGAGGCAACATTTGAAGGAGGTTTTCAAAGAGGAGTAGGATTTTATCATGTGGCGAATAAAGATGACCCCAAAAGGTAAGTACAGAGCAAAAAAGGCATAAGGCGTAACAAGACAAGGCACAAAGTCTAGTGGATCTTGAACTTCCAGCCTCCAAAACTCTTGAGAGGATAAATTTCTGTTGCTTAAGCCACCCAGTCTGTGGTATTTTGTTTTAAAAGCCCTAGCAGACTAAGACAATTACTAAATTATATGCAAAATTTTTCCTCTTTGACTTCTAAATTATTGCTCTTTCTGGTTATCTTTCTGTCCCACTCATGATTACTTTTCTGCCTCCTTCCACTCATCTTTCTTTTTAGTTTTCTTTAACGCTGATTTCTTACATGTTGCTGTTCTCCATGTTTTGTGTTGTTGCTTTGTCCTTTGGCTGATTCCTTCTCACTTTGTATACTCTCCCTGGTCAATTCTATGCACTTCTATGATGTAAATATTGCTCATATGCCAACGACTTCAGGTCCATGGGTTCTGCATAGACTGTCCTTCTGAGCTCTGGATTGATGCATACAGATGCCCATTCCACATCCTCACACTTGTCACACAGGTGGATCAAAAACCACGTGTTCCAAAATGAATTATTATGTTTGGTCCCCAATCTTTTTCTATTTGTATGAACTAATTTGGAAAATATTATCGCCATCTACTCAGGTACCTAAATTGGAGCTCTAGGAGTCATTCTACACTCCTCCACCTGCCCATAAATTCAATTAGTCACCAATATTAAAAGATCCTCCCTCTATAGCATTTCTACTATTGGAAAATTCCTTTGGCACTGCTTTAGATCAGGTATGAACTGTTTCTTATCACTGTTTAATGTGGTAAGATAACCACATTAAGGTAATTAAGGATCATTAAGATGGTTCAGCTTCCTAGAATAAGAGACATATTTTTTTCTCTTCTAATGCAATCTTTGTCTTATAATTTACATGTGTAGCTGAGAAACTAGCCTTCTAATTGGTGGGTATTGGGTTTGTACCACTTACATTCCATGAAAGCTAGTTATTTCCTAATATCTAATAATTTTAAAATAATAATTCAGTAGAATATCTCTGTGATTGAACAATTAAAATTCTATCTAGCTTTGGATATTTTATATAATGGAGAGTTTCCTACACAAGATTCATAATCACTACAGAATTGACATATAATGTCTCCAGGGTTATGTCAAGATTAAAAATTTAGACTGCTTAATGTGATATTTGGTAATTAAGGATCATTAAGATGGTTCAGCTTCCTAGAATAAAAGACATATTTTTTCTCTTTTAACATGATCTTTGTCTTATAATTTACATGTGTAGCTGAGACTGAAATTTAAATAAAGTCTTCTTGAAATTTTTGATTCACCTTCATTTTTCTTGACTAATACTATAAAATGTATATAATAGCTGGTCAGCCAGAGGTGAACCTATAGATTAATTCACTTAACCCACTTGGTCAGTCACTGTTATCCAGGATAAATGTTAACTTCTAGAATCTTCTGACTTTTTTGGTTCATTCCTTTTCCGTCCAAGATAGATTAGAATCTGCTTTATAGTTCTATTCATTTCCTCATATGGCTCTATTTTTGCTTTTCTAGATCATAAATCCAGGAAAAGTTTCAAATGTCTTGGCTTCTCAATTCAAGAGTGGTGGTAGTTCAGATCTTTCAGCCTGGGATATAGTAGTGTGTCAACTGAATTTGAAAAGAAAATCATAAACTGTTGAACTAGAAGCCAAATGTACACAAAATAAAAATGCTCTTATTTCTTCTGTAGTTTCATGTCTTGCTAAGAAGTTTCTTATATCATTTCCATGAATTTTGATGTGCTTCAGCAACCTACTGTGAAACATTCTGTTGGAAAATGTGGCAGCAAAGCCACCAAGAAAATGCAAATATCAGTAGTTATATATTTATTAATGATTTTTATTCATAGCTTATTTTTAATTTCCATCATCTTTTTTCATTAGACATGTTTTCTGTTTTTATTGCTGTTGTTTTTATAGATGGGAAAAGAATCAATGGATTAATTGGTTGAGTAAATCAATAAGATAGTATAGATTGCCTGTCTCTGGCGGAAAGGAAAGCTACCTGATTCTGAAAGCACAGCATTTCTGTTACCTATAAAAAAGAATTACTGGTATACAAATGACAAAGAACCTAATTAGAATTGTTTGCCTTACGCTTGATGTTGCAGTGAAAACTGGCACAGAGAGGAGGAGGTATTTTCCTCCTGCCACATTACCCTTCCTCAACTAATGATAATTTGGAACTCAAGAACAAGTTGTGAGGTTTTCGCTCTCATCAGTCTCGACATAATTAAACTAGACAGCCCCTCTGTTTCCCACTGTGACTTATCCAGATGAAGAGAAAACAAAAATAAAAACAGGTGACTTCCCAGATTGATGCTTGCTTTTATGGCTGTTGTAGCTTTAGGTTACCACAAGATGCCAGTGTTTTAGAACATTGTTACTTATGAATAGATGGCTGGCCGGTTATCATTGTCCAATTACTGAAAGAAAAGACAGCTATGCGAGGCAAAAGCATACTGATCTTGTATTTTTTTCCTCTCATAATGAATGTATTCCATACAAAAGTGTTTGAAGAAATCGTGGATTATCCATAGTAAAACCCTTAAAATGAAGAAAGAATAGGTAGAGGCATCATCCTTTAGGCAAAAAACGATCTGAAGTTATCTTCACTAAGTTACTTTCTGCTCTCCCATGATATGAACAAGCCACAGGATAAAATGTATTATGTAGCTAAGATTTTGGTCTTTGGAGTGAGAAACACTTGGTTTCAAATCTTTTCTCTTTCTTAGGAATTGTGAGTTTCTGAGTTAATTAACTATTATAAACTTCAGTTTTCTCATATTTAAAATGAATGAAAGTACCTGTTTGATTAGCTTTTTGTGAGAACTAAAAAAAATAATATTTAGTAGTGCTTAAACTAGTTTCTGGTCTTGATCAGTATTCAGTAGAGGGCAATGATGAAGGAGAAAAAAATGAGAATAATCAACAAAAAGGTGTTTTCCTTTATATAAAGTTTGTAATTCCTACTAATAGAAGGAAACAAAGGATCTTGGTAAAATTTGTTTACCCCTAAGATCAGACAATCTTTATCTACATCTTAAAAGTTCATTGTTCTAATTTGCATTTTCTTAGTGTTGCAGTTATATCTGAACTAAGGAGATATTTGAAACAGATCCATTGAAATATTATTGTAACAGCTACTTTTATTAAGTGTTTGTTATGTCCCATACATTGCTATGTTCTTTACAGGCAAGCTAAAAAAGAATCAACTAAAGTCACATAGCTAACAAACTACAAAGTTGATATTCAAATCCATATATTGTTTCAAAACTCATGCTCTTAGCCAGTTTTGCTACATTTCCCTCTAGGTTGGAGATTTAGCTCCAGAACTGCTAGCAACAGCAAGGTAGATGTATCTGGTTTCTGAGGTAAGATTTAGGACATGAAGTTGTTGCATAAAATTGAAAAGAAATTACAGGAGCCATAACTGCTTTGTATTCCCAAATTCTTCTTATTTTCTGAAGCAAATCAAATTATCTCAGCTATTAAAAACATTAACAAGTTCTGGTTACTCTGCAGCAGTGGTTTGGGAACTCCCTGTGAAAATCATCTTTTCTGACTCTGTAATTTATCCAGGAGGGACACTCATAACTTCAGTTTCCCCTGAACTGCTCATTGTCTAGGGTCCATCAAATAAAAGACACATTCTCAATGGCTTTCCAGAATCTGAGTGTGAGTGAGGGACCATCTTACTGCCAACTGTGCTTTCTGGATGTATCCAACTTATATAGTGATCACATGAAATCTGGACTATCTACAGCCTGCCATGACCGCTCCCTCCCTAATAGATAATGAATGTTACAGAGAATACAACTGCCTAGTCCACATGAAACCATCATCAACCAAGAGTGGTGAAGTCCTGAAAACAAAGTCTTTATGACTCTGTGCATATGCAAGACATTTTCATGACTGGTAATAGAAATGAAAATACTAGATGTTAATGTCATATACATTTGTTCTCTGAAAAAGTAAAAAATGTTATTGCACCCTGAAAACTTTCAAAAACTCAAAATTCCTTTGTATTTAAAAGTTCCAGCAACCTCCTACGTAGCCTTTCCCCAGTTGTAAACAGATAATTTGGTGGACCTTGAGTTTCTGTGAAAAGCTGCAATCTCTCTTGGGCAGAAAAACAGATGAGAAGAAAAACTGGCCTTTTATAATAAAAGGAAAATAGTGTCCCAGAAATAGACATGGGGGAATAAAACAGACCATGTATGTGCTGTGGCTATGGATTGTTAACATGAAAGATAAGGATAAGATAATGAATTGGACCCCTCTCAATGCAAAAATTAAGAAAATGAAGCAAGGGACATAAACTTTGTGTAGAATGGCAAAGCGTTAGATAAGTGTTGCTTGCTCTTGTTGTAAAGAAAGAATATAACTATGCATATGGGGAAGAATATGTAAATATCTGTGTATATATATAATAAATATATACTATATAAGTATATACTATATAATGTATATATGATGTGTGTGTAGGGATATGCACATATATAAATATACACGCATATATCTTAACCACATGGATGGTTATATATCTTATCTAGTTTGATCTTACTGTATTTGATGTCAATTTATTCTAATTGGTGACTTAAATAATTTGGCATAGACCATAATCTAAGAAGTCACTCATTTCTAAGAAGCTTGCTTCTAAAATTTTGAAATCTATTTATACTTTAAGGTTGGTAATGGGCAAGATGGGAAAATCATTTGAGTTGTAAAGTTGGAAAAAGGAAAAGTTTTACTGATTTGATTAAAACACCATCTGAGTGCTTACTATATCAACATTTATGTTAGACTCTGCCAGGTAGAAATATGCCACTAAAAGTCATCACTTCTTTTGCAATCTGGCCTGAAATATCTGATGGAAAATGAAAAACCATTATGGCTACCTGGTAACAAGTCCAATTACAAATGACTCCAGAGCCCTCTGCAATGTGACCCGACTCTAAATCGTCCTTTAGGATTGTCATTTGGTCTGCTGGCCCTCTGCTTTCTGCCTACTCACATGTAATTGGGAAATGGAAGGTACTTATCTGTCTTGTTGATGGCACTGTGCTCATTTGATAGCAGTTGCTCCACAAGAGCACAAGAAGGAAAATACATTTGCTGCAGCTATAAATTCACTCACTGAAGTGAGTAAATCATGGATATTGCAATTGGACAAATAGACATTGGGAAGAGGGGGTAGGGGTAACAGGCCTTTTTCTTTACCTGACTTCTGTTATCTTAGTCATGAAAAATACAGAAAAAAGAAGAAATAAATAGGAAAATGGCATTGAGGGAATCAGAAAGAGACAATCACTTGTATTCTTGGCAGAAGGAAAATCTAAACTAAACATTAGGAGTAGATTTCACTCTTGAGATACAGTTATCTTTCAAGAAGTCTCCTTTGGTAGGAGGAGGCTCCCTTTTCTTGCTTTCCTGATATTACTGTACCTGAAAATGCTCACTTTTTTTTCTCCTTAAGTCAGCCCGGTCAAGGCTTGCTTTGCAATAGAACACTGCACAGGGCCCATTTCGTGTTGATCTTGCAAACTGCAGCATTGTGAGTATTCACTGCAGGTGCCTGGTCCAGGGAGCAGATTTTCACAGACTGAACAGGCAGTAAAGAAGTCCATTTAGATGTAAGAATTGAATGTAGGGGTTTTACGTTTCTATACATTTTTCATGAATTATAAAAAATAAATGAACACAAAACCACATCTGCAAATAATCAGAGGGATCTAAAACCAAGTTTAGAGACTTGGGAAGATAAAAATTTTCACCTCAGCAAGTATCAAGGAATGTTTTGTTAAAGTGCTGTCACAGTCATAAAGGCAAGGATTTTACATCTTTTATTAGCACTTCTGATTTAGAAAGCAGAAAAGCACTTTGACTCATATGTGAAAATGAAAATACCCAAACCAAAACCTCTTTCATTTGGTAATAAATCTTTGTCTAGTTCTGAAGGTTGTCTTATATTCTGTTTTGGTATATTAATAGCAAAACTCTAAACTGAAGCAAATGCCTTTTTTGGGAACTTTTAGGGATGATGGATTTCTTAAGAAAAAGAAAAGTAGGATTAGGAAAATCCATAGGTAGTTGTTGCTTTAGTAACTTAAAATTCTTTGAAAAATTCAAATCATTGTTTTCAAGCTAATATAGTATTAAAGCATCATAATCCTAATAACAAAATTGATAATTAGAAATCATATAACCTTGATAAATTTCTTCTAATTTAATATAAAAAACCTGTTTCTTTAAGATGCTGCTAAATGGGCATTTTGAGTTTCCTTTTACATCTGAAGTTTTGTAAGATGAAGGCCCTTGCCCAAGGCCACATGAAGAGCTGGGATTAAAATGATTGAGTCCTTACTCCTGGTTCTGCCTTTCTCTTCTCTTGACAACACATCATCCAGCAAAGGAGCAAATCAATAATAATGAAAACTTACTCTTTCTCCCTGGAGTGTTAAAGAGAACAGGTTCACAGAGCAATATCTATAGCAGCACCAGCTGCTTGTTGACCAAGACCTTAGTCATTTTGGTGTGGAACAGCGAAGCTACTTAGGACGGCTAGCCGGGGGATGAAAACGGCAGTAAATAATGAGAATGGCAGAGAGTAGAGCCCTATGGGCTAAACATAGGCCATCTCAGCCCTGACACTGAT